CCATTGTGGGACATGAGAACTGGCAAAAGTCGTGTTGCAACCAAGTTATAAGACATGAAGTTGCGACCATGCTCGAAGACATGCAGTTGCGTGTCTAGTGTGGGGCATGCAACTGGGCTCCTCTCTCTCGACGTAGGCCCCTTCGACAAAGAAAAGGTTCCCCCAAGTTGTGACCAAGTTAGAAGACATGGAGTTATACGCCTAGTGCAGGACATGCAACTGGACCCATCTCTCTCGATGCGGCCCCATACGACAAAACAAAGGCCCCCTAGTTGCGACCAAGTTAAAAGACATGCAGTTGCATGCCTAGTATGGGACATGCAACTGGGGCCCATCTCTCTCAACCCCGCTCCCTCCAACAAAACAAAGGTCCCTAGTTGCGACCAAGTAAGCAGACATGCAGCCGCGTGCCCATTGTGGGACATGAAACTGGCAAAGTCAGAGTTGCAACCAAGTTATAAGACATGCAGTTGCGACCGTGCTCGAAGACATGCAGTTGCATGTCTAGTGTGGGGGCATGCAACTGGGCCCCTCTCTCTCGACACCGCCACCTCCAACAAAACAAAGGTCCCCCAAGTTGCGACCATTGTAGAAGACGTGTGGTTGCATACCTAGTATGGGACATGCAACTGAACTCTTAAAAAACAAACATTGTACATTAACAGGCGGCATCAACAAGTTGAACACGAACATCATACCAAAAAAATTCTACAAAAAGTCTATGCCCTCACATTGTACATTATACATGGGTAAGGAAAAAAATGGCTACAAAAAAGATACACTGAACTCCTAAAAAATGAACCAACCATATCATAAGAGCTTGGCACGCTTGATAAAAAAACAATGATTCAGTGTAAACAACTCGTTAAACTATGGGCTCTCCTCTATTTCGAAAACTCCAGGATCAGACAATGAAAAATAAACCTTCAATAAATATATTATTTGATAATAAGTATAACCTATAAAAATAAGGATCAACAATGAAAAAAACAAAAAAATATAAAGGCTGTGGAGTTACTCCTATATTTTTGAACTCCTTCTAGACATACATGTTGATGCCGCTTGTTGCTCTCACGGTAGCAAGGGCTCAGACAAACTCTGAAAACCATCTCCTATGCACATAAAAATAAGGCCAAAAACATAAATATGTGCTACTGATACGCATACATATTCAGCTAAATTATTTTTAGTGCAAAAAAAAAACTTGTATGCTTCCGAAGAAAAAGGATTTCGACATAACGATAATATATCATTGGCGTCGCCGCTGATGAAAAAAAGAAACATATATACATTTGCGATGTGGAGATAAAAAAGACGATGAATCTATCAAAAGACCATATAAATTCATATACAAAAGAAAAAAAATTAACAATGCACTAATTTCATATGGTTTTTAGGGCGAAAAAAATAAAACATGCTGCTGCTAGAAACTTACTTTCATTAAATCATTCTCTTTTTGATTACGCAAAAAAAGATAGATTTGAACATGCTTCTGAATTAAAAAAAGTGTCAAAGCAAAAAAAATAAAAAATAAACAACCCACTCCCTAGTGATAGATTTCAGCAGTAATATCTCCTGTTTACAAAAAGAAAAGATTTCAGAAAAAAACATGCTGCAGATTAGATAGGGATTATGAGAAATAAAAAAAAACATACCACACTACTGCTAATACATGCAGTAATAAAAGATCTCTCTTGTTTCGAGAGAAAAGATTTCAGCAAAAAACCTAAGTAAAACAAACAGAAAGGCTATACAACTCCTAGTGATGGTCCAGTAATACATATGAGGGGATTTGAGTTCAGAGATAATCCTCAAAAAACATGGAACTGATTTCGCGAAAGTAATGTTTCAGCAATAGTCATATTCTTCGACCTACTCCTCTCGACTAGAATAAAACAAAACAAGCGATTGAATCACTCCTACTAATGGTTTCAGTAATGTGTATGAGGGGATATAAGAGAAGCACTTCTTGAGACACCAAAAATATCCCAGTTAAGAACAGTATAAGTGATAGCACTCACCAGATAAAAAACAAGAAGAAAAAAAGTGTCCAAAGAAAAGGATAACTAGCAGAGGTTTATATACTAAAAAACAAAAAGGAATGTTCAACTTCGCAAAAAATCCTAAACACACATCTCTCTTGTCCTACTCATGAACAGAGGGTGTAAAAAAAGTGCACTATACTCTCTGTACAGAGGATGTACGGAGCGGTGTAAAAATTTCTCTATATGCACCTACAAGCATAGAAAAAACATGTTGATAAAAAACTACTTCCAGTACAATCCAGCAGAGAAACACACTTCATCTCAGTCTATTGGCCTACTAAGAAATTTAGTGCTACTGGTTGTAAAATAATCTTTACTGGAAAGAACCTCA